GATAAATACAATGATCTGAGGAGTGATGACAAAGTGATTCACACACACGACAAATTTTGATAAAATAATTTAATTTCAAGTTATTGAAAGTTTTGATACTAAAATACTACAGAGCATTGAGTTCGCTGGTATTACTATGTAGTGTAACATATAGTAGAATCTTGACATACAATAATACCTGGTAAGCCATTACCGTGCAATGTGAACTTCCACAGGACCATAGTTTCTATATATGAAGGACAAATGGTTACACAATGAATATAAAAAAAAAACACTATAGTATTACAAAAATAAAATACATTGTAGACTAAGAAATACCACAGTTAAAGAATATTTCACATCAAAATTCAACCTATTATGTTAAAATATTAAGGAATAATTCATGAAAAATTATACAATTACCATCTAGATTTAATGTCTTTGACATTCAAAAGTTTGAGATGGCAGAGAAACAATTGAAAACACACACATATATACAGCTGTGATAATTCCATTACATTTTCAGTAGTCACATTAGATGGAGCAATATTGTGGAGAGTCGGGGATAACATGTCTTTCATCATGTCCCAAACACTTGTAAGACACAAGACTATCAGTGAGATCAGCCGACATCAGTTGTACTTCGCTTGATCTGTGGGAGTCAAACACTCCCTGTGCCATCATTCATTAAAAACACATTCTGATTCATATGTCATTGTTGTGCAAATTTCATGATCATGAATTAATTTACTGTTATAAATAGATTGTTGCAACAACATAGTGAAAATTGCTTCTGCTAAAACTGGGATATGTAGGTTTTACTTGCTTGTCATTCTTACAGCAGGTTACAACTATGTAAAACACATTGATTTTATCTAGACTTGATGGTGCTGTTTATTTGACAGGCATTTTGTATTTCACATAAGTGTTCAGCACAGTGAGTTGTAAATATTATAGCATCTGCATTGTCAATAGTATGAGTAATATCAAAAAATTAATTTTTTGCCGCTGAAATTTGACAAAACATGTGTATCCATGGTAACTTGTAAGTCAGTTGTACCTGGTAGGAAAATGGACTGATCAGAATCATGTAAATCATTCATTAACGGATCATTTAGTAAACATGAGCGGACATTGTTAGTTTGGTGTTCTGTACAAAAACAGTGCATTACAGATATGGTCATAGACAGAAATCCACTGAAAACAACGTAGTTCAGAACAGACCATGTTCAGAATGTCATGCAACTGCGATGTAACAGGTCCAGCCAGGGGATTTGTTTTGCAAACTGCACAATGATTATTATTTAAAATAATGTGTTGAAATCACACGTATAACAAAATAACTTTGTATTTTCTCGATCGTGAATCATTTGGAGAAAAGAAATGGATACCCACACCTTGTATGATAAAGAAATGATCTAAATCGTGAGCGTTCAACAGAACGACACCATCATGTCATGCAAAGTTGCGAGCATCTAACTAACTGATACAGTCAAATTGAAGTTTGTTATTGCCTTTCACTCCTTCTCGATAAATCACGCCCTCTAGTGACATAATGTATGCAATGTCTTTCAAATAGACAACTGTGATTGGCTGCAGTAATTTTCCATTTGTTATGTAGCAAATCCCTCAAGTAATGTATCTTATTTATGGATGACCACATGAAACCAACGCTCTGAATGGCGTCTGTTTATCCTTATTTATGTCACAGAAACGCTATTAATATAGAAAAGACGTATTGTAGGTTCATATTGAGTTCAAAAAGACAATCACATGGCATAATTGATTATTCGCTATTAGGGAAGGTGGGGGTTAAGTTTTTGGGGGAGTGGGCGTTGTTCGTTTCCTTGCCTTGGCTTTTGGCAACTGACCCTGTTGGAGAGTTGGTTGAGCAAGTGTCACTTGTTGCAGCTGAGTTGGTTGTTGCCGTATTTGTAGATGCTGGTGCAACTGCAACTGTTGCTGATATGCCATGGCAGCCAACTGTTGTTGTTGTGGTGTTACTGCCTGTAAGTGCAGTCGTCCTGGTTGTAGCCCCTGGAAAAACAGTTACACGATTAAAGTTTTATTAACCTCATGTCAAAAACAAAAATTGGGCAGCATTCAACATGTCAATATGATTTGACTATTTAACAACTAGTGAGCACTCTATGGGTATGGGCAAACACAGTCATAATACTTGATATGTCTTCTTATTGATTGAACAAGAAGGTTAAGTTACAAGTGATTTAAGATTTACCTGTGCTGTTCTATTAACAGTGGATGTAAGCTGCGATAATGCTGTAACGCCTGTAGTAGTTGCAACTGGTGCTGCAACACTCTGTGGTGACAGAGCTGGGGATAGTTTGATCTTCATTGTTGGATGCTGTTGTTGTTGCTGCTGCTGTTGTTGTTGTTGTTGTTGCTGCTGTGGTTGTGATTGTTGTTGTTGTTGTTGCTGTTGAACAGTAACTTGACTTTGTTGTGGTGATGGTTGACTCTGGTGCAGTAAATCACCTTGATGAGTCACTTCGACAGTTTGATGTTGTTGTTGTAAGTGTGCTTGTTTCAACTGTTGTACTTTCTGCTGCTGCTGCTGTAGTGTTCCTGCTGACTGCTGTGCTTGCTGTGTAAATTGCATCTGCTGTTGTTGTAATGCAGCATTTATAGCATTTCTTTGTTGTAGAGTTGGACTATAAATTATGGGTTGTTGCTGTTGTCCTTGTACCTAGAAATAAACACATAAACAAAGATATATAACACTTACCAACATGAGATATCATAAATGCGATGTAAAGTCAGACGTGGATGAGATATGCAATATTACACAGACAGACTTGGATGGGACATGTGATATTACACAGACAGACTTGGATGGGACATGTGATATTACACAGACAGACTTGGATGGGACATGTGATATTATACAGACAGACAGACTTGGATGGGACATGTGATATTATACAGACAGACAGACTTGGATGGGACATGTGATATTACAGACAGATTTGGATGGGACATGTGATCTTACAGACAGACAGACTTGGATGGGACATGTGATCTTACAGACAGACAGACTTGGATGGGACATGTGATCTTACAGACAGACTTGGATTGGTCATGTGATATTACAGACAGACTTGGATGGGACATGTGATATTACAGACAGACAGACTTGGATTGGTCATGTGATATTACAGACAGACTTGGATGGGACATGTGATATTACAGACAGACAGACAGACTTGGATTGGTCATGTGATATTACAGACAGACTTGGATGGGACATGTGATATAACACAGACAGACAGACTTGGATGGGACATGTGATATTACAGACAGACAGACTTGGATTGGTCATGTGATATTACAGACAGACTTGGATGGGACATGTGACCTTACAGACAGACAGACTTGGATGGGACATGTGATATTACAGACAGACAGACTTGGATGGGACATGTGATATAACAGACAGACTTGGATGGGACATGTGATATTACAGACAGAATTGGATGGGACATGTGATATTACAGACAGACTTGGATGGGACATGTGATATTACAGACAGACAGACAGACTTGGATGGGACATGTGATATTACAGACAGACAGACTTGGATGGGACATGTGATATAACAGACAGACTTGGATGGGACATGTGATATTACAGACAGACTTGGATGGGACATGTGATATTACAGACAGATTTGGATGGGACATGTGATATTACAGACAGACAGACAGACAGACAGACTTGGATGGGACATGTGATATTACAGACAGACAGACTTGGATGGGACATGTGATATAACAGACAGACTTGGATGGGACATGTGATATTACAGACAGACTTGGATTGGACATGTGATATTATACAGACAGACTTGGATGGGACATGTGATATTACAGACAGACATGATCAGATACAATATATTATATGCACATAGAGGACAGATCATTTTACCTGTTGAGCTGCTTGTTTTTGTCCAATGGCTGAAGTTATTGGCGATGCAATTTGTGTCATTCCAGGTATTCTGGGCAAAAAATTACTTGGCAGTTGCTGTGAAAAATAGACGTGGTTATGAGTGAATAAACATACATTATTCAAGGGGCGAAAGTAAGTTTTGTGGGTGTCTCACTAAAGAGATCTCTGGGCCATTTGCATCAAGGGTATGTTACTAATGAGGCCACATTGCTCCAAAATAAAATGTATTTGAGCCCCCAAACACATACAGGCTAAAATGACAGTAATGTAATAGATGGTATCATTTCCAAACCCAAATTACAATGAGATCATTGTATTTATATAACAAATTAATTAACCTACAATTCCTCAACTAATAGTACATGTACTGTATTAATCTTAAGGGTCCCTGATAAAATAATAATACATGTACATGAATTATATAAAAGTTCCCCAAAAGTATAATAGTATATCTCAAATAGTATCCAAGTATCAATAGTATCAGCAAATTTGACAGGAAAAATAGTGGCCAACTTTTTGGCGGGGAACAGGTATTGGTGACTTATACAATATAATGAAATGAACATATTGGGTTTCTGCACTATCTGAATAACAAATCTTGAAGAGTTATTACTTTTTGAGGGACATGCAGAAATCATTGTTACCTGTAATAAGGAGAGTGGTGCAGATGTAGCCCCTGTTCGTATGCCTTGACTATTCTTTAAACTTGTCATAAAATGTGCTAGGTTGGCTGGACTAAGACTAGCTGTAGTTCCACCAGTTATATTAATAGGGGTACCAGTGCTGCCAACAACTGCCTGTCCACCACTTATTATGTTGATTGGAGCTGTCATCACACCAGTAGGTGTACTTATCACACCAGATGCTGTGGTTGTCACACACTGAGGTAAAGTCATTATGTTTGTTGGGGTGGTTACTCCGGTCAGTGCGGTCATCCCTCCAGATTGTGTTGTGAATATTCCTGATGCAGACGGGACCATACCTGCAGCCAAACTGACTGTTATGGGAACTGTAATACCAGACGGCATGGTCATAGTGATGTTCTGTGTTAGGCTCCCCTGCTGGGATAGACTACTGGTTGGTGTTGTGGTCCTATTAGGTTCACGGTTTGGTGTAGAAACTCTTGTTGGTGTAGACGCTGAAGTTGGTGTTAGCGGTGCTGGGGTTGACACAGTAGGAGGTGTTGGAGGAGGACCCATACTACCAGACTGTCCAGTCATTCCTACAAAAAGAAACATTATTTACTATCATAAAAATATGGGGTACTAGAAGAGATTTTGTAATGTTAAGAAGCACTCAGGTCAATATTGGATGGTGTCCTCACCTTGTTAATCATTACTCAGGTCAATATGGGATGGTGTCCTCACCTTGTTAATCATTACTCAGGTCAATATGGGATGGTGTCCTCACCTTGTTAATCATTACTCAGGTCAATGCTGGATGGTGTTCTCACCTTGTTAATCATCACTCAGGTCAATGCTGGATGGTGTTCTCACCTTGTTAATCATTACTCAGGTCAATATTGGATGGTGTTCTCACCTTGTTAATCATTACTCAGGTCAATGCTGGATGGTGTTCTCACCTTGTTAATCATCACTCAGGTCAATGCTGGATGGTGTTCTCACCTTGTTAATCATTACTTCAGGTCAATATTGGATGGTGTTCTCACTTTGTTAATCATTACTCAGGTCAATATGGGATGGTGTTCTCACCTTGTTAATCATCACTCAGGTCAATATGGGATGGTGTTCTCACCTTGTTTATCATCACTCAGGTCAATGCTGGATGGTGTTCTCACTTGTTAATCATTCACTCAGTCAATATGGGATGGTGTTCTCACCTTGTTAATCATTACTCACGTCAATATGGGATGGTGTTCTCACCTTGTTAATCATCACTCAGTCAATGCTGGATGGTGTTCTCACCTTGTTAATCATTACT